ATTATTATTATTATTATTATTAAATATTGTGTAACAAGACCAAACTGCAAACGTGAACGCAGATTTTAACTAGCTGCTTTCATTTAACTACCACATAAACAGGGCACGTGTTCGAGAGCCCTGGTCTGCAGCATCAGAAGACTGGCTGCCACTCCTGTCAGCTACAACACACTGAGGATATATTTCACACATGCTCACAAAAATCAGCCCAAAGGAGGAAACTGCTGCCTGGTCTTGAGGAGAGTCACAACATTTGGATGGTAGACTCACAGTTTGGTGTAATTTAATGAAAGCTTGAATCCATCCTGTCTGGTCCAGTCAGTTCCAGCAGGTGGTGCTGCTGTTAGGGTGTGGGGAATATTTCATCATGTATAGTACTGTTTCTGATCGTGTCCATCCCTTTACGACCACAGTGTATTTATCTCTGATCGCTGCCTCCAACAGTATAACACAACAAACTCAAAGCTCAAACTGGCTTTTTGAGCAGGACACGGAGTTCACTGTGATCAAACAGATTTGCTTCTTGGCTGTGCAGCCAACAACTCTGTGTGATGCCATCATGTCAACATGGACCAGTATAAGGGATGTTTCCAGCACCGACCTCACCTGTGGGAATCATGGCAGACCTCGACGATGCCTCTGGAGCTGCTCTTCTCTCCTTCTTCCAGCTCGTAGTATATGATCAGCTCACCGGGCTGCAGTGGAGACAACATGGTGAGCTAGCACACACATTCACCCTTAATCCACAAAAAGGGTTATTAGCAAAACTGCTGCACAAAAGCTACGAACTGTTAACTCTTAAGCCCACATCATAGCTAATAACCAACTTACGACTGTAGCCTTCTGTGGAACTCATCCAATCTCCTCCACTTATCTGTATCAGGGTCACAGGGGAAGCCCATCCCACCACAGAGGCGAGAGGCAGGATACACCCTGGACAGATCACCAGTCTGTCGCAGGCTAACACAGATGACCAGTCACACTTATGGGAAATTGACAATCACCAGTTAACCCCACTGACTGCATGTCTTTGGACTGTGGGAGGATGCCAGAGTACCCGGAGAGAACCCACAGACACAGGAAAACATGCAAGCTCCAAACAGAAAGGCCCCGCCCATACAGTGGAGTCAAACCCAGGACCTTGTTGCTGCAAGGCAGGGGTGGGGCACTCCTCGAGGGCCGGGGTCCTACAGGTGTTAGATATCACCATGGGTCAACACACCTGGATCAAACGATTGGTTCATTACCAGGCCTGTGGAGAACTTCAACACGTTTAAATGAGCTGTGTTGGATCGAGGCCTGGAGTTCGACACCCCTGCTGTAAGGCGGCAGTACTAACCTCCACGCCACCGTGCTGCATCTGTTTTTTAAAAAATGACCTCATTGTGACAAATGTTTGATTTGTATGAAAATAAAAGTCACAGAGTGCTGTCACTGTTACAAACCATTAAACAAACTGATCGGACTGATAGAAGACTTTTATGATACCAATATTTGGTGATTTAAAAAAGGACTATTTTAAATGTGATTTTTTTAAAAACACATAAAACAAAGAGATATCCTTAAAGTTGAGTTATTTATGAGTCCTTATGAAGATCATTTGATAATGACGTTTAAAATAATGGGCTACTTGTTGCCAACAGGCAGACTGCCCTCTGGTGGACAAACAGCAACATTCATAACATGATTGACGGCTGTTTCTCTTTAAATAGTTTAAACAGCAGCGCTGAACAAGACAGCAGCCATACCACTGTGAAATGATTTTAAAAACACAAGCAAACACATTTCCCATGTTTCTTCTAGCGTGCACTGAAATAGTAATATGTTTTAATACTGTATATGGTTTAATGTGCTCACCTTTGTCTCAGCTGACAGGTGCTTCATCACTTCAACAAGATAAATATCACCCACTGACACTGGGAAACACCATCATATCAGCTGATGTCAGTCAAAGAAACAGTAGTCTCTCCCACACACCACTGCTATACCTCACAGAAGTTCACACTGTCCACTCAAAAGACTACATTAAATGTTAAAACGTTAACATCTGCTACAGTTAGATGATAACCACACGCTCGACCAACAGCTAGCATCACTGTGACTGTCTTTTATATGCAGTCTGTCATGAAAACAAGGCTTGGTGTCAGTTCATACAAGATTAATGGCATCTACCTGTACTATGAAAATCTCACCTTTGACCTGAAGAAGCGAATAACTTGAGCAATGTCAAAGTTTTGGTCTGCACACAGCATGTCTCCAGCAATCTGCTCACACAGAGAAGAAACGCTGAATAGCAGCTTCAGGATTGTTCTGAGTCATTTAGTCCATTAGCCACGGACAGAGCGATCATACCACCATAATGTCGTCCTGCAGCTTCCGGCTGCGTACGACCAACTCCAGGTCAGCCACGGCCCCGAGGCGATCCTCCAGCGTAGTGCTGCCGTCATTTATGATATTTTCCACGGGGAAGTCGGAAGCTGTGGCCCAGCGCTCGTAGTGCTTGTACCTGGTCAGAGAACAGGAGTGGAAGGAAAAGCAAAACGATGGCAAAGTTTCCAAACACCAGCCAATCCGTGCAATCATTGCCACTCACTTATCAGCATTTGTAACCAGATAGACCGCTGTGAACAGCTGGCGCCTGGAGACACAGAGACACCGTCAGTGACATGTAGAGGAACATGAAAGCTCTCGGATCACGTGTGGATCACGTGTGGATCACGCTCACGCACATGTTGACGGTTTCCCACCAAAAGTCAAGGATCTTCTTTCCTCCAATTCCAGGAAGCAAGGCCTTGGGTACCCCGCTCAGGTGGCTGTACAGGCCCGTTTCATCATTCTGGCAGCAAAAGGAAGATTTACTACACAAAAACCACAACCTGCTAACAGCCCCCCCCATTCGGCATGAAACATGGCCAAGTCAATAGGCCTAATTATCACCTTTGTAGCAACACATCAACAACATGGGCTACGCTGTGGTAGCATCTCTGTGGCTTACTTGGATACTGAACCAATTCAACAAATTCTATCATCACAGGTTTGTGAAAGCAGCTAAAACTTGGATTACACCAACAGCGCTGCACACGACCTGAATGTTTCCTCATTTACTTCACATGAAATACAGCGATGCTCTGCGAGCCCCCCTCAGCCCACAAGAATCACGTGGATACCTGAGGACTTGTATACCTG